CCACGGGGGTGGAGTGGTATTGACTTACATTTTTTCCCTCCTCTTTTTATCAGAAAATAAGACCTCCCTCTGGAGCTAGTGCAGACACTACGCTTAGCTCCTCAGTTACAGACTGACCCTTTGAACCTACCAGGACAAAGACCCAGCCAGGCTGAGTTCCCACCCACCCCCATTTACAGCCCTTCCTCCTCTGCTCTATCCTATTAGGCAAGCCTCATGGCCTTTGGCAGACTTCAAGTCTTACAGTAACTACCCTGACTGCTTGCTCCAAGGCCAGGATGGGACTGGGAGCTGAGCTGTCCAGAGAGAGCAGGTGTAGATGAAACTGCTGCCTGCCTCCAACTTCTTCTCCCAGGGTATGGAAGCACCACAGACCTCATTCAGACTACACAGGTCTTCGATTATTACTCTGAGCCACTGCTATTTTCCCAGTCAGAGGCAGTGCTGTGCCACACTGCTGCTCAGGAAAAGTTCCCAAGGTAATAATCCTTGGGAATAGAGCCACAGGTAATAATCACAAGAGCAGCCAACATTTATTTCCTGCTTTCTTAATAAGTAAGGCCCTACTGTATGCTGCCTCCAACTTCCTCTCCCAGGGTATGGAACACCAATCGTAAGCCTAAACTATACTGTCCAATTTTATCCTCACAACAAACCGATATGGTATCTATTTTCATCTGTTTCGTAGGTAGGAAGGCAGGACCGGGCGCGGTGACTCAAGTCTGTAATCCCAGTACTTTGGGAGGCCAAAATGGGTGGATCAGGAGGTCATGAGTTCAAGACCAGCCTGGCCAACATAGTGAAACCCCCATCTCTACTAAAAATACAAAAATTAGCCAAGTGTAGTGGTGAGCGCCTGTAGTTCTAGCTACTTGGGAGGCTGAGGCAGGGGAATGGCCTGAACCTTGCAGGTGGAGGTTGCAGTGAGTCAAGATCAGGCTACTACACTCCAGCCTGGGTGACACAGTGAGACTCTGTCTCAAAAAAAAAAAAAAAAAGATAGGAAGGCAAATACAGAGAAGTTACACCATTTGTTCAAGCAAATGGGGCAGGGCTGAGATCTGAACCCAGTCTTACCACCAGCAATATTGTCTTTTTAGGAAATAGAGTTGGGAGGATCATCATATCTAACCCGCCCTACCCCTGCCACAGTACAGATGGAGAAACTGAGGTCCATAGAAGGTAAATAATTTGTCCAATGTCACATCCAGAATAAGTGAAACTTCCAGAACTAGATCTTGTTTCGACTTTAAATCCAGGCTCTTTTTTCTTTTTAAGTTTCTATTTTTCCTACTGTCCTTTGCAATTCAAAGCAAATTTACATGAAGCCACTGGGCCTCTTTAATCCCTTCTTCTCCCAACAAGGCCTCACTGGACTTGTTGGAGATACTTATAATCCTTAGACATATGTTACTAGCTGTGTAGCTTGGACATTGTACTGAACTCTGCCAGGTCGGAGCTCCTCACTGTAAAATGGTATAACAGTGCTCCATTATATATACTGTAAAATGGTATAACAGTGCTCCATGGTATAATAGTGTGGTTGTGAGATAATCCTCCTTAGTGAAGATAATCAGGAGGCTGGGTGTGGTAGCTCATGCCTATAATCCCAGCACTTTGGGAGGCCAAGGCAGGTGGATTGCCTGAGATTAGGAGTTCAAGACCAGCCTGGCCAACATGGTGAAAACCCCATCTCTACAAACAAAACAAAAGGGCATGTTGGTGGGTGCCTCTAATCCCAGCTACCTGGGAGGCTGAGGCAAGAGAATCACTTAAACCCAGCAGGTGGAGGTTGCAGTGAGCCGACAGAGCAAGACTCTGTCTAAAAAAAAAATTAAGATAATCAGGGAAGAGCATATAATAGGGCCTTACTTATTAAGAAAGCATGAAATAAATGTTGGCTGCTATTGTGATTATTACCTGATTGGTATGCGACTGTTTCTGTTTACATTTAATACTTATAATAATCTTAGATGGGTGAGTGTGGAGGGAGGATGTATCTCCATTTAACAAAGATACCAAAGCTCAGAGGACACCTGAACCCACACTCAACTTATAACTCTTTTCAGGACACTCTGCCCTCTCACTTTAGGAAAAGATGGGAGCTTTGAGCTTGTTTGTAGCCCACATGCGGTTTCCTGTTGTACAGTCTGTTCTCAGAACAGTTGTGCTGAGGAAAGGGGTGGTTAGTGACAGGGAGTCTGGTGACTGGGTGCCTTACCCTGAGTTTACAGGAAAATAAATTCTAGGCCTCAGGGCAGTCTCGTGACAGCCTAGAGGAACAAATCTAGAAGAAAAATACTTCCACTGGGCACCAGAACTGAGCTCAGAATTAAGAATATTTAGTCATTTCAAGCACCTGGAAGGCCTGGAAACTGTCACAGAATTGGAGGACAGCCAAATGCCATCCAGTGGCTGAGGAAGAAGGAAATATTTCAAGGACTAAACTCAGCCAACGTGGCTTAGGTCTGCTTATGAACTGTAAGGCCAGGGCTACTACATCATTAACTCTGAAATGAATAAGCAGGTATCTCTGGACCCACTATGTCAACCATCCCATTGTGGGAAACAACCTCAGACTGGGAGTCAGGATGTCCTCTCAAATCAATACTTTCCCTGTCTGGACATCTGCTTCCTGGATCACAAGAAACCAGAGAGCACTAGTCTATTACCTACTTTTTTTTTTTTTTTTTTTTTTTTTTTTGAGACAGGCTCTCACTCTGTCACCCAGGCTAGAGTGCAGTGGCGTGATCACAGCTCACCACAGCCTTGACCTCCCAGGCTCAGGTGACCTTCCCACCTCAGCCTCCTTAATAACTAGGACTACAGGCCCCCACCACCATGCCTGACTAATTTTTGTATTTTTTTGTAGAGACAGGGTTTCACCATGTTGCCCACAGTGGTCTTGAACTCTTGAGCTCAAGAGATCCACCCGCCTCAGCCTCCCAAAGTGCTAGGATTATGAGTGTGAACCATTGCACCTGGCCCATTATCCACTTTTTTTTTTCTTTTTTTGAGATGGAGTCTTACACTGTCATCCGGGCTGGAGTGCGATGGCGTGATCTCGGCTCACTGCAACCTCCCACTCCTGGGTTCAAGCAATTCTCCTGCCTCAGCCTCCCAAGTAGCTGGGGATTACAGGTGCCCACCACCACGCCCGGTATATTTTTTGTATTTTAGTAGGGTTTCACTATGTTGGCCAGGCTGATCTCAAACTCCTGACCTCATAATTTGCCCACCTTGGCTTCCCACAGTGCTAGGATTACAGGCATGAACCACCCTGCCTGTCCACACATTTTACAGAAAAGAAAAACAGCTATCACTTACTGACCACTTACTATGTGCCACACCCTGAGCTAAGTAGTCACAAGCCTTAGCTCCACACGATGATCTGGAGTAGGAAATCAAAGCAATTTGCCTAAGTTCACAGAGATAGCTAGTTAGAGGACTTCTCTCCACCAAATGCGAGGAATGCAACCTTGGATAAGGTATATAATCCCCTATTGCCTCAGTTTCCTCATCTGTAAACTGGAGATAACAGCATTTACCTCATAAGGGTGATTATGAGAAATGAGTTAACACATGTGCTTGAAGCAGTGTCTGGCATATGGCAGATGTTTGCTACTGATGTTATTATATTCAGCACTTCCCCTTTTTCATCTGTAATGAGAAGCTTGACTACAAGGCCTCCAAAGATGTCCTGCTGGGTGATCCATTGAGGCTGTGGGCTCAGACATGGACCTCACCTCTAGAAAATGCAGGCTGCATGCCAGGCATGGTGATTCATGCCTATAAACTTTGGGAGGCTGAGGCAGGAGGATCACTTGAGCCAAGGAGCTGGAGACTAGCCTGGGCAACGTAGTAAGACCCTGTCTCTATGAAAAATTTAAAAATCGGCCAGGCATGATGGGACATGCCTGTAGTCCCAGCTACTGGGTGGGGGTGGGTGGGGGGAATCGCTTGAACCCCGGGAGGTTGAGGGTACAGTGAGCCGTGATTGTACCACTGCACTCATGCCTAGGCAACAGAGTGAGACCCTGAAAAAAAAATCAAAGAAAGGAAGGAAGGAAAGAAAGGAAACAAAAGAAAGGGGAGGGAGGGAGGAGGGAAGGGAAGGAAAGAAGGAAGGATAAATGCAGGCTACTATGTCACTTTCTTCACTGAAAGATTTCTCAGAACATAGAGGAGAATATTAGACACCCATGGCTAGAAGTCAAACCTCCTGATTTTGCCCAAGAATGGCAAATAATTTTCCAGAATCAGCCAGTACTATAAAGATGAATGCCAGTCTGGTTTACCATCATGCACCAGTCACTGACTGGCATCTCATGGGACTTTACAAAATAAGCATTCTTCTTCTCCTGCTGTCCCAGCCACAGGTCATGACCTTGAGTTTCACAGGTAGCTTTCTGACATGTGGTGAAGAGTGACAAAAAGACTTTTCTGTTCTCCAACTCACTTTTTTCTTCCCTAGCAGAGAAGTCTCACTGCTTATAGCTCAGGAAATTTAAGCCCCAACTGCAAAAAGCAGTGGCTGGAAACCTTTTCTAGTAGCAGAATTTTAGAGCTCACATAAAGAATTCAGTCTCAAAGTCCCTGCAATGATTGTTGAGCCTGATTTCTGCAGTGCCACTCACTTCAATGTCAGGCATGTTGGATCAGACAGCAGGGAATTTGCAATCAAAAGAGCTGGGTCTGAATCCAGGTTCTGCCACTCCCAGAGTGTGACTTTGGGCAAGTCTCTGACAGAGGCTTCTTCGTTTGTAAAATGGGGTACAAGAACCCACACCTCACAAGGCTTTTAAAGTGAGGTGTAAAGGCACCAAAGGAAAGGGTTTGTCCAAAGTCAGCGGATAAAGACTAGGACCAAGTCTCTACATCTTGAGCTGATTTTTAACATCTTGCTTCTTTTTGGGTAAGAAAGCCACAAAGTTTGATTTGACTTTGTGTACCTTCCTCCCCTCCTCCTCTCAAGAGGACCCAGAAGAGAAGCTACTGACCTCTTGTAGGAGTACCCCAAGATGATGCCAACTCCGATGGCAATGATGATCACCATCATGGTAATGCCCAGCACGTAGCCTGCCAAGGACAGGACACAAGGTCCCATTAGCCAAACCCCACACAATCAACAAATGACATCTCTTGATGAATCCCAACAAGGGCAGGGGTCGGGGGCCGTCATACCCAGAGTTCCCAGGTCCTTTTTCTCCTTGGAGTTCATCCGCACCCGCTGGCTGATCCCAATCACTGGCTGCACAGCTGCTGCCTCACTCCGGGCCGGCAGGGCGTTGGCAGGAGCGAATACCTGCACCTCATCTGCACCTGGCCCTTCAGACACTTCCTCAGTTTCTGTCGTGGAGGCTGGCAGGGCCTGGGAGGTTGTCTCTGGAGATGAGGTGGGAAACAGCTTTCATCAGGACCTGCCCTGAGTGAATTCCACAGCTGAACGTGGTCCGAGTGTTAGGGGAGAGGGAGGTGGGTCAACTAAGAATGCCTCCCTACACACACAACCTAAAGTCAAACTTTGCCCTACAGGCAAAATCAGGCCTGAGAGGGCTGCACTATCTCAGGGACAAGGCAAATTAGAAGGGAAGGCCGTAGGGAAGGGCCTCTCTCCTGCCTTCCACGTCTTCATCTGTTCCAAATCCTGCTCGGTTGCCGGGGATCTCCCCACCTCCCCAGGAAACAACCCATGCTTCCTTTGAACAGCCCACATTTAAGTGCACGCTCTGTGCCAATCCTTAGGTGAAATGCTTTATTTTGTGCCGGGCGCGGTGGCTCACGGCACTTTGAGAGGCCGAGGCGAGCGATCACCTGAGGTCTGGAGTTCGAGAGCAGCCTGGCAAGCCTGGTGAAACCCCAACTCCACTAAAAATATAAAAATCAGCCGGGCGTGGTGGTGAACGGCTGTTATTCCAGCCACTGGGTAGGCTGAAGCAGAGGAATCACTGAAACCTGGGAGGCAGAAGTGGCAGTGAGCCGAGATCGGACCACTGCACTCCAGCCTGAGTGACAGAACGAGACTCCGTCACAAAAAAAAAAAAAGAAAAAAAAAAAAAAAGAAAAGAAAAGAAAAAGAAGTGCTTTACTTTGATTATTCCATCCAACCCTAGAAAACTGTCTTGCTACCTTGGGAGCAAAAAGCCTGCGCTCTGGAATCTAAGAAACGTGGATTCAAATCTGTCCCCTGCCATTGCCTTTAGTAAATCGCTTAACTTCTCTGAACTCAGATGCCCCAAACGGCTTTTTCTCGCGGGGTGTGTCGGGGGACGTGGGGAGCGGGGGTTGTGAGCAGTGTGCCTAGAGCATTGCAATCGCTCCACACAACAGTCATAAACACTGAGGGGCCAAAAGCCACTCCTCAGGGCGCACGCCGGATACACCCATCCCCGCGCAGAGACCCAGCCCCCGCAGTTGTTTACAAGCGCTCGCGGCGGATGAGCTCACACGAGCGGCGACGGCGGCCAATGGGCTTTGAGCTCCGGGGCCTGGAGATAGCCCTGGCCAATCGGACGGCGCGGGGGCGGAGCGGGGCCGGCCGGCCTCGCGCGGCTGCACGTGCGCTACGGGTGGCTGCCGCTCCCTTTAAGTCCCCGGCGCGGGTATTCCCGGGGTCCCGGGCGGTACCTGGACAGCTCAGGTCCTCGCAAGGCCGTTTATCAGGGACGCCGGCCTCGCCACTGACGTAGCACCAGGGCCCGCGCGGGTCCTCGTCCGGGTTTCGGCAATAACTGTGATTGCCGGCGCCTGAGAGGGGAGAGAGGGAAACGTGTGCCGGGCTGGGACCTGGACCGCGGCTGCCGCCCGCCAGCCCCGCCGCCGCCGCGGTCCCCTGGAGGACACTTACCCAACACGGGGGCCGAGGCCAGCCGGCTCTGCGCGTCCAGCCAGTTGAGGCAGCGGAGGCCCGGCGCAGGGGAGAGCTGGTCCGCCCGGTACAGGTGGCCGTTGTCCCACAAACAGCCTGTGAGGAAGAGAAGCCCCCAGGACAGAGTAACGGGCAGCGTGGCAGGCAGGGCAGCCGGGATCATGCGGGCCGAGTCCCAGCCTGGCTAACGGACCGCGGGCCCTGCTGGGCCACCGTCTCCTCTCATGACAACACTCCCACGCCCCCCACTTCACACCTCACACGCACCTCAGAGGGTTGCTGTGACGCCCAAAAGAGAAGGAAAGAAAGCGCCTGTGAAGCCCCTAGCCTGTGCCTGGCCCTCAGTCAATGCAAGAGACTGTTAGGTGTTATTTTTTTGTTTTTGTTTTTTGTTTGTTTTTGAAAGCCAGAAAGCTGTAGAAGTGCAAATGGTTGTTACTCTTGAACTTGTGACCACTTCGGAAGAGGAGATGGAGAGGAGGAGGCCTGGCTTAGGGTCCCTTTGAGAAGATAGGAGTTTTGGGACGGTGGGCACCCAGACCTGACATTTATCCCTGTGCTGTAATGCCATGTTACGTAAACTCCGGTGTTCCCTCCTCCACTGATACGGCCACCTTCTGCCCGTTTAACAGGCAATACTCTCCCAAGAGAATTCTCCAGGAGCCTGGATTCAGTCAGGCAAAAGATTCAAGAGAGCCTCAAACGGAGTGAACCGGCCTTATCGCTGCCTGAATGAGACTCCAAGCTCCCATTCCCCTCTACAGGAGTGTCATAGGAGGAGGCTGGGGAAGGAGGACCATACCATGCAAAGGTCTTAGAAAGAATAGGACTTGGGGCGTAGGGGAGATGAACCCCCAAGCTCCATCCACTCATGAGCAAGGAAAGGCAAAGAGAAAGTGGCTTCTTGCCTTTGTTCTTAATGGCAAAGATGGAGCTGCAAGACCCTGGCAAGGAAAAGAGGGGTGGAAAAGCTTTCACAGGACCACAGAAACCAGCTAAACGCTTAGTTTCCTGTCATCTTGGCCCTGTTTGGGAAATAGGGGGCTTTACCCCTTCTGCTTCATGAAGTTTTGCTGCGGAAAGGAAAGATTGTAATCTCACCTCCAGATCGGTAGGCTTCTGCTAGGAGCATGTTGCTGACGAGGAATGCCTGCACCCAGGCCAGCAGCATCCTTGCCTCCTTCGTCTTACAGGTGATTGAACGACCAGTGTCCAACCGGGGCCCCCTTGGCAGCGGCTCTGCCTTCCAGTCCCAGCCTTGCAGTCAGACCTGCCCTTGTTATGCTCTTCGGGTAAACAGCCTCTCTTTAGAACTGGGAGCTTCCCAGCTAGCTTACTGCAGCGCGAGCTGTTTTTCGGCTGAAAGGCGCCCCCTGGGTCCTAAGCCTCCTAGGCCGTGGAAAATCTGACTCTGAGCCAAGAAAGGAACTCAGCCAAGAAGAGAGGCAGAGAAGTGCAGGTTGTGCTTAGCAGCCGATGATTTTGAGACCTGCGAGGCCATATCCCCAGAATTTTTGATCTCTTCTGTTTCCATTTGTGTGAGTACAGAAAGATTAATTCTATCAAGGGGCATCGTGGGATGTGGGAAATTATAACCACTAAAACACAGAACACTTTAGGGAGCGTGCATCCAGGAGGAATTCATGATCAGATAGGGGGCAAAAATAAGAGTATCTGGTGGAAGGGGGGAGTATCACTTTATACCCATCCTTGAAAAAGAAAAAGGGCCTTTGTAGTTTATATGTTTATGAACACACTTTAAAAAAAAAAGTATAACTTGGCCAGGGTCAAATCTGTCACATTACTTTTTCCTACATTTGAGGTTTTTTGGGGGTATTGTATATAGTAGGAATATAGGAGTATCTTTAGTTGAAAACACATGTTATGCAAACATGGAAAAATTTGCTCAGCTACATTGTAGTAGTCTACCCTTTCTACCAGCCCTGAATTATATAAAGGAAGTTAAGTAAAATGTTTGCTTCCCCCCGCCCCCACCCTATAGGAAATCCATTTGCTGTAATTTAGATCCATCATTAAATCTCACCATATCCATTTGACTTAGGCCTTTTGGAGTTAGGCAGAAGGGCCGTTCTTCCTGTTTGGCTGACAGTTCAAGTTCCCAGGGAGCCTCAGTAAACTGAGAGATAGAGCAGAGTGATTTGCCAAGACTACCTTGTGACTCAGTCAGATCCCAAAATAGAAATGGGAGACTCTGTTTCGATCTTGCAGGCAGTAATGTAAGGAGGAAAACAACTTTACTAAATAATTTTTTTTTTTTGATATGGAGTTTCACTCTGTCACCAGGCTGGAGTGCAGTGGTGCCATCTTGGCTTACTGCAACCTCTGCCTCCCAGTTTCAAGTGATTTTCCTGCTTCAACCTCCTGAGTAGCTGGGATTAAGGGTATGCACTACCACGCCTGGCTAATTTTATTTTATTTTTGCATTTTTTTTAGTAGAGAAGGTTGTTTTTTTGTTTTTTGTTTTTTGTTTTTTTTGAGACAGAGTCTCGGTCTGTGGCCAGGCTAGAGTGCAGTGGCGCAGTCTCAACTCACTGCAACCTCTGCCTCCCAGGTTCAAGTGATTCTCCTGCCTCAGCCTCCTGAGTAGCTGGGACTACAGGCACACACCACCACACCTGGCTAAGTTTTGTATTTTTAGTAGAGATGGGGTTTCACCATATTGGCCAGGCTTGTTTTGAAATCCTGATCTTGTGATCCACTTGCCTCAGCCTCCCAAAGTTCTGGGATTACAGGCATGAGCCACCACGCCCGGTTCAATATGGCAAAATTTTAAAATTTGGCTAGGCATAGTGGCTCACACCTGTAAATCCCAGCACTTGGGAGGCCAAAGCGAGAGAATCCCGTGAACCCAGGAGTTTTGAGACTAGCCTGGGCAACATAGCAAGACCCCCATCTCTACAAAAAAAAAAGAAAATAGCCAGGTGTGATGGCACACACCTGTAGTCCAACCTACTCGGGAGGCTGAGGTGGGAGGATCATTTGAGCTCAGGAATTCAAGGCTGTAGTGAGATGTGATCAGCCACTGTACTCCAGCTTGGGCAACAAAGAAACCCTCTCATAAAAAAAATTTTTAACAATTCCAATATAATAGGGATTTTAAATTTTTATTAATTTAACATTTTTTTTTGAGAATCTGCTACATACTAAATATAGTCCTAAATGCTACCTGCTAAATATAGTTCTAGATACTGGGAATACATCTGTAAATAAAATATTTGAAATCTCTCTTCTCCTGAAGCTTATATTCTAGTTGGGAGAAACATGATAAATATGTAAAATGTCAGGTAATCTTAAGCGTTATGCAAAAAAAGTGAAGCAGAGTAAGGGAGAGAGTAATGGTGATAATTCCACTTGCTAAAGAAAGCGTATACTATTTTCAGGGAACCAGAAGGATATTTCTATAGCAAAAGCCTGAAGGGCAAGGGCTCTTGGCACAATTTTTGGTGGGAGAGGTCCTCTGTTTACTCTTATACTACTGCAAGAGATGTGTATTTTGTTTCATTACATAAAATACAGGCTTGAGGAAATGAGAGTACAGCTTTAAATTTCAGAATATCAGGAAGTCCTTTGAAGTTGATCACTCAGCACCTAATGTATTGCCTTTGTATGCAGCGAGGGCTCAGTTATTGATATCTGATAAAATGTTCCTCATTAGACTTTGAAGGGCTACTTCTGCACTTTTCCCTCTTCATGGTAGAGACAGGCTACCAGGCCTGGCTATAGCAGGCCAGCACTTGTACCATTTTCAGATTATTACCATGCCTGCATAGGGATGCTAATATTTCTACCTCAGAAGCCCAAAGCTTCCTTACCTGTTGCTGTTGTCATCTAATTTTCCTATTTAAAAAACTATTATTTTCCCTAACCTACCTTGATATTCAGCAAAACCATATTTTGTGTTATGTGTCTTATCAGGAACAGCACTGCCTAGAAAAGATATAAGCCAGAAGGAGATTTCTTCAGCTTAGTCATCTCTGTTTTTTCTCCCCTGTAACTAAGATATTTATCTGCATGATTGATTTGATTTTTTTTTTTTTTTTTCAGGAATGAAGGACTTGCTTCAGTCCTTCAAAGATATACTCTAACAGGTTCAGTACCTTCTTTCCTCAAGGCAAACAGATTTAGCTTAGACATGTTCCTGTTGTCTTTTTCTGATGGTCCAGATTTGAACTTTGCTCCATTTATTGGTGCAAGATGACCATATTTTATGGCTCATAGTTACTCCGGACATAAAATTATGATACGGTACTACTCAAATATTTAAATTTTGAATTGTTTATATCCTTGAAGGCAACATTTGAAAAAATACTCATATTTTACAGAATATTCCAGGGATGTTTGATTCTCAGTTTCGTATTACATGAGTACTAATCCAGAGACAAAGCTGTGCTATGAAAATCAGGAAATATTTTCCAGAATGTTTCCCAAAAAGGATGGGCAGTTCATTTTATTAACAGGATATGTTAGTGGGTGAGCTCTAATAAAGAAGTCATAAAGCTATTAAAAGGCTTAAGAACCCTTTTTGTCAGCAAAAGAGGGCCAAGGTGTTGGTAAAAATCTTTGGAGTAAAATCTAATGAGCTGGCTCCAGCAATACACTTTATATGATGTGCTGTAGAAGTAGCTACTGAGATTAGGCTCAATATTTTGGTGTATAATTACAAACTGAGCAGAGATGGTTTTATGCAGGTTGTTAGGGAAATAATATTCTAGTCAAAATGTCTAAACACCAAGGCTGTTTCTTTGAAAGTGTGGCCTTCAGTGAGTTAGGTTATATCCATTTTGTGTATGCTTGGTACATAGTTTAGTTTCAATAAATGCTTGAAATAAAGGAGAAAAGCAGAGTACCATGTAAGGAAAAGCAGTCTAATAAACCTACAGAGAGAAAATATTTGTTTTTTTTTTAGGGTAAACTATAGAATAGCCAAGAAGGCTTGTCAATGACAAGTTACTTTCAGAAATAAGACATCTCACACTGGGAACAAAGGAGCCACAAAGGCAGAGAACTTGGGAACATGTCACTGGTGTTGAGAAATAAAAGGAAGAATAAATTCTTGAATAAGAGTGGGTTTTGATTTAGCGTAGATAGCATGGTTTTCACATTGATGAGAACACAGTCTTCGGTGTCACAGGAAGAATGCAGGAACTATAAACTGAATTGGTTCATAAGACTAGACGGTTAATATAAAAGGTGAGTTAACCCAGTAAGCTACAGTTATACCTCTCTTGGAAGGGGATCTGATATTCTCCAATTTCAGTAAACTGGATTTGCTGTTTTAAAATGTATCAGTACCCAGTATGAGCTTAGTACTGACTTTTTTTTTTTGAGACGAAGTCTCACTCTTGTTCCCCAGGCTAGAGTGCAATGGCGTGATCTTAGCTCACTGAAACCTCTGCCTCCCAGGTTCAGGTGATTCTCCTGCCTCAGCCTCCTGAGTAGCTGGGATTACAGGTACCTGCCACCACGCCCGGCTAATTTTTGTATTTTTAGTAGAGACAAGGTTTCACCGTATTGGCCAGGCTGGTTTCCAACTCCTGACCTCAGGTGATCCGCCCACCTCAGCCTCCCAAAGTAATGAGGTTACATGTGTGAGCCACCTCACCTAGCTAGCCAAGTACTGACTTTTTTTTTGAGACGGAGTTTCGCTCTTCTTACCCAGGCTGGAGTGCAATGGCGCGATCTCGGCTCACCGCAACCTCCGCCTCCTGGGTTCAGGCAATTCTCCTGCCTCAGCCTCCTGAGTAGCTGGGATTACAGGCATGCACCACCATGCCCAGCTAATTTTTTTTTGTATTTTTAGTAGAGACGGGGTTTCACCATGTTGACCAGGATGGTCTCGATGTCTTGACCTCGTGATCCATCCGCCTCGTGATCCATCCGCCTCGGCCTCCCAAAGTGCTGGGATTACAGGCGTGAGCCACCGCGCCCGGCCCAGTACTGACTTTTAAAGTAGGAGAAGCAGTATGCCAAATCATTTATGAGCATAGGCTTTGGAAATACTTGGGTTCTAGTCTGAGCACTGCACTATGATCGTAGGTCCTTGCATACTAACAAAAGGAAAAAATTTTTTTTAATTTTTAAAAAAAATTTAGGTAAGTTACTTAGCATCTGTAATTCTAAGTTTTCTTAGCCTGTTATCATAATGGTTAAGAATCCAAGGGCCAACATCAAGATTCAAATCCCAGCTCTTTTGTTTCCTGCTATGTCATTTTAGGCAAGCTACTAAACTGTGACTCAGTTTCCTCATATGGAGAGAGGGGGAGAGAGAGAGAGAAATAATACCAAAATCATTGAATTGTTGACATTCATTGATCCCTGAATAAATGTTAGCTGTTTTCAGGAATTTTTGTGAGTAACCCCTAACTTGGAAGTACTGGGTATAGGCCCGGCATGGTGGCTCTTGCCTATAATTCCAACATTTTGGGAGACTGAGGCAGGGGATTGCTTGAGGCCAGAAGTTCAAGACCAGCCTAGGTAACATAGTGAGACCCCCATCTCTACAAATAAAAAAATTAGCTGGGCATGGCAGCACATATCTGTGTAGTCCCAGCTACTTGGGAGGCTGAGGTGGGAGGATTCCTTGAGCCCCGGAGTTCAAGGCTGCAGTGAGCTATGATCATGACACTACACTCCATCCTGGGTGACAGAGTAAGAG